TGGAGCTCATTTGACTTCTTCATCATTCTTCTCTCAGCTTCAATACTAAGATGCATGGGAAGATTTAACATGGTTATCCCTTGTGCAGCTTGGTTCAATGCAATTACAATAGACTCCCAAGATGGAGGGAGACTGTTAAGGATAATAGACACTTGCATGCAATCGAGGATTGGATTCTTAGTTCCAGCAAGGTCCTTTGCGAGCACTGTCATTTTATTAACATGCTCGGTCACTGAGTCCGTTTCTTTCATTATGCAATAATTGTATTTTTCTAACAACAATTGTACATAGGTCTCATAAGTGGTCCCATACTTTTCAAATAGGGCACCTATCATATTTTGAGTTGTGGCGTAATCCTCAAAAACTCTAATTAAATCATCTTCCATAAAGCTCAACATAGTAGTCCTAGCTACTTTGTCATCTTCTAACCATTTTTCAAGTCGCCTTCTGGCTTGACTATTGACAATAAGCTCTAAAACTGGTGGTTCTGTTTCTAAGACATAATCTACCCTATTTTGAAAAAGAATATATCCAATTTTTCTTTTCCACATAGAAAAATTAGTCTATTTGAGTTTTTCAAGTTTGGATAATTTTGACATGACTAGCCTAAATGTCATTTTAAATTTTTAGATAATACATAAAGTTCAAAAATAAAATAAAATTAACTGTGTTTAAGAAAGGGTTTTCTGCTAGTTAACTCAATAGGTTTGCCGACTCTCAGTGAGCCGCAACTTCAAATAAATTTGTTTTCTCGAACAATTTATGTTCGCACTGCTGTAGGTTATGAGTCTACCACGCTTCCACAACCTGCTCTGATACCAATGTTGAAAAACTTGAGGGAAGAGATGGACTCACTCTTAGGATTAGAAGTAGTGTCGTGAGACTATCGATCGCAAATATCAGGCTTTTACTAGAACTGTGAGAACTCTGTAAATTTCTGTGTACCTCTCCATGGCCATGAAACCCTTATTAAAGAGAGATGGAGTCCTTCAATGTTCGGCTTCTTCCTAAAATCTCTAAGAAAACGTAGCCATACAATCCTAGGAAGTGGGTGTTACTTTTTAGCCGTTAGATAACGACACTTTATCTCTCTACGAAGCTTCCTTTTTTTAATAATAAGCATTAAATTATAAGAGAAAGAAATATTGATCGTTTAAGGGCCCCATGGCCACACACGTATCAACATGCATCCCATCTTCCTTTTCTCTTTCTAAAAATCAGTTAAGGCCTTTTCCATTATGGTTTGTGATGCCCATCACCTCGTCCTTCTCTCTCTATAAACCCTGGCTATGAGCGCAGCCCTATTTTCGTCTCTTCCTTCTTCCTCCTCTCTAAACCGTAACGTTCTCTCTCTCTTCCTACATCCTCCTCTCTCTAAACCATAAACACAGAGCTGTGAAACCCAAGTTTCTACGGGCCGCTTTTCATTTAAAGAAATTCATAAAACTTTAACTATAGTTATGGTGTGACCAGAGTCACCGTACTATAGTCTAAAAAAAGGAAAAGTTTATATAGAGTCGAGGTTCTAAACAATCAAATTTGAGCCTACCTCCAAATTTTCATTAGAAAAGGTTGTTTTGATACCCAAATATCGTTAAATTGATCATTTCGACATCAAGGTGCATGGACATGAGAAAAAAAATGGATTGCAAATTTTGAAAATAATGTATTTTGTAACACATTTTTGGACCGTCAATTTTCAAGATATCATAGATATGTCGATCTGTTCTATATTTGAAGCTTTGAACTTCATAAGTAGATATGAAAATATATTTTAAAGCTATCACAGATATTTTCAATATTGAAACCACATTTTTTGGTGCTATTTGGAGGTAAGCTCTAATTTGATTGTTTAGAGCCTAGGTTATATACAAACCAAACCCAAACAAAAATGGTGTATTTTTTTTTCTGTACCCATGAAGATGTTTAAGTATTTAGTGAATAAATTTATAGAGCATATTTGTTTTTGGTATGTAATGGGTAGATTTATATGGTACAAATTTGTTTGTATATACTAGTTAGTTATGTATTTAATATGGAAAAAGTTTATATAAGGTTGCAACCTTAAAATGTACAATTACAGATGCACCTAAAAAATCATCAGAGATTGTTGAAAAACCTTCTAATTGATCATCTCGAAATCAAGATGTATGAATATGAAAGGAAAAAAAAAAAAAGATTTTGAGTCCCATAAATAATGCATCTTGCAACATATTATGTAGACAATCCATTTTCAAGATTTTCATATATTTATAGATCTACTTGATTTTGACCTTTTTTTAGTTTAAAATTTTATAATTTTGTATGAAAATAGATTTTCAAATAATCCTATGAAGTTTTTACACCAAAATTATATTTTATGATAAAATTTGGAGGTGCGTCTTAATTGGATTGTTTATGGTCGCAACCTTATAGAAACCGCACCCATTTAATATTGGATGATTGCATCAGAGTCACGAGGTATCTAAATTAATTGTCTTAATTATATTAGTCTAGTAAAGTTTTTATAGATAAATTAGTTATTGATGGCTTTGATATAATTTTTATTTTTTAGAATTTCAAAATTTATAATGTTATAAATTTATTCGATTTTTTTAGTCTAATCCGATATATTAACGATATCTTCATATGAAGTATTTTTGCCGATCTGTATTTTTTATCCGATTTTTTCATCCAACTTTTTAAAATAAAAACGATTTGTTTCTGATTTTAAGGTGAGCCGATTTATTGATAGCCCCTGACTTGCTAACTATGGATCAGAGTGAAAGAACCATTCAAACATGATCAAAGCATAGTTAGCAAGTCGGGGAATAATAACATATAGATTGGAAATAAATCGGTTTTGTTTCAAAAAGTCGGAGGGATAAATCAAGTAAAAAATAAGGATCGCCAAAAAAATAAGGTAAGTTATCTAATCACGAATATTTAGGATTTAGTTCAAAAAAATGTAATGAAAAAATCGGATATGTAAATCTAACAAAATATAGGATGATTTGCAACTATTGTATAGATATATTAAAGCCATTAAACAATAATTTTATAGTTTTATTAGTGCCATTAGAGTAATACTTTGACAAGTTTTTTTGTTAAAATTTTCAATAACTCCAACAACAATACTTACTAAGTTGTCACAACATAAAACACATAAGAGCATAAAATGAAATAACAACAATACTAAAGACAAGAACTGTGAACCAAAGTATATGATTATTTTTCAAAGAAAAATAAAAAAATGGCCCCTAGGAAAACAGTGATTTCATGCAACGGTTATATCATAGTATAATGCAATCATACTTTTAGAAAACCAATGTTTGTGGTATTTGTATGACCCAAAATTTTGCACACACACTCTCTTCATCTCAATAATCAATCCTCCAAAAAAAAAAAATCAATTTGAACCCAAGATGTGGTCAAAATTAGTTCCTTTCAACAACAAATCTAGGCCACTCATTTGGTGAATTTCAAGATCTTAGTCGTTACAAACTCAAAATCATTTTTTTTTTTAACATTATTATTAACACTATTCATCTAATGTTAATAAAGCCATCTAAAAAGATGGAAAATAAATAATCCTTATAAAGCCTAAATCTAAGCATCTTATCAAAATTGACGGTCTATGTTAATTGGGCTAAAAAAATACTTTCTAAGTTGTATTTTCAATTTCTTTTTTTGTGATTGTTCACTAAAGAGTGTATATTTCAAAATTTGGATCAAACAAATGACCCTAAAATGATTTTTGAAGATTGTTGCATTGTACTATGATACAACAGCATAAAATCATTGCCCAATATGGGACAGCAATTAATTAAAAGAAAGCGCAAAGACCCAAATATGTAAAATAGTGGTGCATCCAAAATGCTATTTTGTAACCAATTAAATAAAAACTAAAAAATAAGATATGAAATTAATCAAACTTTTGTATGCATTAAAAAAAAACAAATAAAATGCTTAAGTAAATTTGAATCTATCTCTAGCTAACCAAATCTTTATTATCATTGAATCTCTCTCTTGCTCGTTATAAAATCCTGGAATCTCTCTCTTGCTCGTTATAAAATGTAGGTTTTAAAGAGGTTTTTTTTTTTCATTGGGTTACTCTTCCTCTAAGACTACCTATTATTTTGAGATACGATTGTTTTGATTACTTTTTGTGGAATATATTGATTGTTGTGTTTGTCCATTTTTCAAAAAGAACTCATTGGGGAGATTTTTTATAGAACTTTTTGTTAAATCAAGATTTTTAGCCCACTGTTAATGAGCTTATCTTTAAACCAAAATCTTAAAAGTTATTTTCAAAAAAGATAAAATACGGATTTAAATCACTCTATTTAAAAAAGTAATTTTTTAAAGATCTTTTGAAAAACTCGGAGTTCTAAACTGATTCCAAAAAATTAGTGATTTTTTTTTTAAAAAATCGGAGAGTGATGAAAAAATCGGTGATTCATGTTTTAAATGGATACTTGCTAACTATGGATCAAAGTGAAATTATCTAAGGAACACTCATCAATTGAGAAGACTATCCCAAATTGGTAAACGTGATTTTTGACATGAATTTGGGGCATCGAATATTATGAATCAAATAAATCATATTATCAAAATTTTAGGGCATAAAAAAAGAAGAAAAGCTCTAAATTTTTTTAAAGCAGATTTACATTAGGGAAAAATAAGTACAGATCCAATGTTTACAGAGAGGGAGAGGATGAGAGAGGTTGCTCTTGCTCTTTTGGTCGCACAGGCTGAGATAGAGAGAACAGAGAGAGCGCTTTTTGAATGCACTAAATATATGCCTTAAAAGAATGAATGTAAATAATAATTATTAGATAGTCAGTCTAAGAGTATAGAAACTCAAGATCTTTTTTAAAAATAATTATATCGTGATACCAAAATTCGCGACACAAAATCTTCCTAGGCTGCTTTTTAGCTAATAGAGTAATTGTACAGTATGATCCCGTAGAAGTATGCTATGATATATACTCCGGCGGGTACATAACTCCCTCGTATAGGGCATTTACCAACTGTTCGAGCCCAAGGGTCTTCCCTGCATCCACGGAGTACATCTCTCTCGCAAAGACTTGGGGTATTGGGCACTCAACTCGATCAGTGAGAACCAGCAGAATGCAGCAGGTATTCAGGGAATTAACAGTCCAATTCTTTCTCATGTCGCCTCTTGATTTATTTATGCGTTCCTTTCTCTCCCTTCCTCGTATTCGAAGTCATTGATTGATTTGGTTCTCTCTCTCTCTAAAGGGTGGTGGAGTTGAAAAGGAGGTGACATGGGAGGATCAACAAAATATCAACAAGTTTGGAAGATTAAACAACAGATACCACGAGCTTCAAGATGAGATCAAAGTCTCCAAGGTATTCTTTTTCATCTTTACATTTCCACAAAGTACTTATTTACAGAAATAAGAAATATCTTACGCCAAAAAAAATCAACTCATAGAAATACTTGATAATTTCTAAAATCTAGTTCAGTATTTTATGGATTATAAGAATATGTTAAATCACATATGATTTGTAGGTTATATTCAGTACCAAAATAAGTTTGAACTCTGTGTTATGCTGAAAAAAATTGATTATGCTGATGTTTTGCATAAATTGGATCAGTGAAAGTGGTATGTATAGCTTTGAAAGCAATATATAGATCAATATGGATTGTAGAGTTTATTCTAGTTAGTTTGAGAGTACATGTTGATTAGCACTCTCTGGGCATGCAATTGGGTATTGTGGTTCACATAACTGTGATTTAACTCCTTTCCTTTTGGATCTGGTGAGTTGGCATTTATTAAATTGGTTTTTACTTTGGACATATTTGATTGTGTAAATTTGGAACGATGATTTGTTTATTGTGATAAATGAGGGAGTATTTGGGGGGAGGTGGTAATTTGTATTTCTGGGAGCTCCAGTCACCCACATTTCACAATATTTAAAGACTCAACATCCTCTCTCCAATCTGCTGAGCTTTCAACTTCCATTGAACTTCCACTGTTGCTATAATATACTTTGAAATGGTTTGCCTTAATGGAAAAAGGGAATGCAATAATGGTTTCTCGATGCTATACCAATCAATAGCATTGGATCTCAGGGTTCAATTTTTTATAGAGGGACGATAAGTTGACATTGTAAGGGCTGCTTATGGAAGCAAATTGGGATTTAATAGCGGTTGATAGATGTCATTCCTTTGAGTTTGATTTCCACTATTTAGGAAATGGATTGAAGCTCTGGAAAATGGGAAAGCAAGTCAGGGTTAGGTTAATGGATGCATATGTGTTACTTTACATTTAATAGAAAGGACATGCAATACTGGCTAGTGTGTAGCCTGTAATGCTAGAATATAGATTGGTTATGAGTTGCAGGTGTTTTATTGGATCCCCTTTGGATTGTGAAGGGTGGTGTATAAGTTAGGTGTTAAGGTTCTCTGGCCAAAAAGGGAAAAAATGTTAGGTGGTGAGGTTATTAGAGAAGAGAGGTGCTTGGAGATGCATGAGAGGAGTGGTGAGGAGATATGGAAGACGACAAGGGAAAGGGGAATTGTCAAGGGTTAGGAGGTGTATCAGGAAGAAAGAAAGTTTTTACATTTTTAGAAGGTAGGTGAGAGAGGAAAGATGTAAATTAGTTTTATAATGGACTATCAAGGCTGCATGGATTGGAAGGTTGGTGGGGTAGAAGAGAGGGGCCTTAGGGCCTTGGGGAAGTTATAAGCTAATCGAAGTGATGAAGTTACAAAGTTTTGAGGGAAGACTCGAAGGCCTGTGGAATTCTGGAGTGACTTGATGAAATCAAGGAACTTGGTTGAAAAGTCGTGTAAAATTCTTTCCCTATATGGTGGTGAAAGATGGAGTGGGCTATATGTAGGGGTGATATGGGAGTTCAATCTAATGGGAAGGGGGTCAAGGGTTGAGCAAGTTTATGGGTATTCTAGAAATGGAATGTATGGCTGTGGTGGATTGAACTAGATGCCGGCAAGCCATGTATTAAGAAGAGAGCAATGGATCAATCATCTTATGTGGAATGGTTGTGTAAGGATGGCAAATTGAGACACTCTGGAAGCTTCAGAATGCTGAGTGTGAAATGGGGTTGGGGAGGGGGGGGCTTCATCAAATGGGAAGAGGGAAGAGGTGAGGTTGATATAACATGGCCACTGTGGGGGAGAATATGATTAGCAGGTCAAACGGTAATGGGAACTTAGTTTCTTCAGGTCTTCAAGTTAACGAGATGGATCGTAGTTATAGGGTTTTCATGTGGATTTGAGAAATAATGGTGTCTTGAATAGACCCAGTTATTCTTGTCAAAATGATATGCAGACCTATGGAGAAGTGAGGCTCAAGGGGCTACGGGGCTCATCCTTCATTCTTGTATTCCTTTGCCAAAGCAATGATGAATTTTAGAATCTTATGACATACCTGAACAACAAATAAATTAAAAAATAAAAAGAAATAGTTTTCCTTCGGCAGATTGTTTTGGACACAAAATTCAAACTTAGGACGTCTGTTGTGGCCTTCATGCCCAACCATTAGATGAATCAGAAAAGGAGTTCTAGCTTCTTGTTAAATTAGAGATGCACTACTTGAGATAAATGATTTTTCCAACAATAACAGCGCCATAGAAGTTAGGGCATGTTCAGCTGCAACACATTAGTCTAAGGTTCAAATCCAGCTTCCCACCAAAAAATAAATTTTTTTCTTTTTTGAGTAATTGAGTACTAAAGGATATTAGGAATATCAAATTTGATTCCTTCATTGCATATAGATAAATAACGAAATGAATGAAACAAATATATTGAGGATGGTACAATGTAGAATTTTTTCCTTTCTTCTGTCATTTAAGTCTAGAAATGTATTAATTATTTTTCAAAGAAAAAGAACTATCAAATTTTCTCTCTTTTCGTGATTCACGGAGAAGAACTAAAGGAACAAATCTAATTTTGTTATGCATATCCATTGCAAAAGAGGTCACATATGAGCCTCGAGGTCACCCAATGTGAAATTCCCTTCAAATGGATAGACCAACGCTTCCTTTTTATTCTTTAATCTATAGAAGTAGTAATAGTGCTCTTAGCAGGCATTACTTCATGTTCTTCATAAATTTCCTTGAAGGCGGTTTTCTTCCAAGGCTGTCTACGTGTGATCCACACAAAGGATATTTGGATACTTAACCATCCTTCTCTTAAATGGCATTGCTATTGAGCATAATGCGTGACTGCTACTCAAATGTCTTCAATTCTTCATTGTGATTGCTCTTACTGACTACCCCCTTTAGATGCCTTTCTTGCTAGCCTACCATAACGTCATACTCATTTTGTTCACTACCACGAATGATTTCCAGCACAATAGAGGCATATACCAAAATTCTCGACAAAAATGAATTTTCAAAATTGAGAGGATGTTAGATGTTTTTCTAGTAGCCTTTGGGTTGAGTCAGTCTGATTCAGAAGTGCTATACCTCTATTAAAAGATTCTCATTAGGCCTCCCACGTATAGTTGTCTCGAAAGTGACACATCTCCAATAAACACAACTATGCTAAATTGCATGATAATGCAAATAAGTTCACAATATTTTGATAAACCGCAATAGGAGATGATAACAAATCATGCCGAACCATTACAGCCTTCATGCTTTGCTTCAGTCTATATAGTTTTTGGTTTTGCTTCCATACAAATCATGTCTTCCCAATATTCTATGAATATCAAAACTGTGCTTCATTACCTGTGTAACAAAACTGTGCTTCATTACCTGTGTAGCATTGTGTGTTTCCCGTCTTCTTGGATGTGTAAAGGAACCAGTTTACATGTTTGTAGCTGACTGGTATGGATGTCATTGTCTCAATTATAAGGTTTTGGGTCCTTATCCCAGTCTCACCTAACAAATTTAAAGTCGGCGACGAAGTTAATGCTGATTAATGAAAAATGTTAAGTTTGTCTCCGTTGGACAAGAATGAAAGTATTGAACTGGATTGGATGTTTGTAGCTAACCAGTGTGGGGGCCTTTGTCTCAATTATCAAGTTTTGGATGCTTATCCCAATCTTATCTGACAAACATAAAATCGGCAACAAAGTTAATCCTTATCAAGGGAAAATGTTAAGTTAGTCCCATTCATACAGGAATCAAAGTTTACATATTATGATTAACAAGTAACATGCAAACAATGATGGGTTTCTTTACATTAATGCCTCTAATATACATACAACTGCGTCGTACATGCAACTTGCTCATGTTTCAATGACAGGTGTGGAGAGACACATATCTGCTCAGGTATTTTTCTTGGGTTCGAGCAATGCCATTCAAATCAAGATTTTTTGACTGAATAGTAGTGACAATGGGAAAGGGAAAGAAGAATGAAGCACTTAAGTCATCCATCCCTTCACATTTAAAATGGGAAATTTTTTTGCTCTATGGTCAATAGTTTTGATTGATGAGACTAGGGGTGGTGTCAACGCAAAGTTAGAACTTTGGAGGGATGCTCTAGAATCTAAGGGTTTTAAAATTAGTTGAACTAAGGCATAATATATGAAATGTAAATTTAATAATAATAGGAGTATAAACGAGGAAATAGTTAAGATTGACGGCCAAGAAAATAAGGGTTTTAAAATTAGTTGAACTAAGACAGAATATATGAAATGTAAATTTAATAATAACAGGAGAATTGAGAGATTGAGGAAGATGTCATACATAAAATTAGAGTTGGATGGGCGAAATGAACATGTGTATCTAGAGTTTTATGTGATCGTCGCTTACCAATGAAATTGAAGGGGAAGTTCTATAGGATATCTGTAAGACTAGACACGCTTTATGGATAAAATGTTGGGCGGTCAAGAAACACCATATCCATAGGATGAGCATTGCTAAGATGAAGATGTTGAGATGGATGAGTGGCAAGACAAGAAACTATAGAATCCAAAATGAATACATCCGAGGGAATTTAGGTGTGGCTTCAATAGGTGATAAGATGAAGGAAAGTAGATTTAGGTGGGCTGGCCATGTGCAGCATACACCTAATATAGTACCGGTTAGGAGGTGCAATTTGGTTCAAGTGGAATGCTTTAAAAGGGCAAAGGGAAGGCCCAAAAGGATATGGATGGAAGTAGTGAAAAAATATATGGTCGTATATGGTCTTACTGAGTTTTTGGCCTTTGATAGAGCAGCATGGCATAACATCCATATAGCCAACCCGAAATAGTTGGGATAAGTTCAGATGATGATGATGATGGTCAATAGGAGGCAAGTTGTCAAAAATTTAATAATATCGACCTAACTCCATATTTTGTTCTCAATGAATGTTATGTTCTTAAAATCAGAAGAACTTGTGTTCTCTATGTTACAAGTGATATATCATTTTCATGCAACAATTTTTTTACATTCTCTTCACTTCTCTTTATCGGCAAAGGTCCTTGTGTTTCACTCTTTAAATTAGGGGAACTTGAAAGACTGGACTTCTTAACAACGACAGATATAGACCTTGTTTGTCCACCAGTGAATTGGTAAAGACAATTTTAAAAAAGAAATCCATATCTGGTTAAAACTTTTTTTTTTTCTTTTTGCTCGAGGATGCAGTATGTAAAAATCTTAGACCAACTTGCCTAAAAGAATAATGTAAAGATCAATGTTCCTTCTTCCTGAACCATGCAGTTTGTTCTCTCTTGGATTTTTCATATTCTGGCTTATTCTTCCTTGCTTTTACATGTGTTGACCTTGTTGCATATTCTAGTATCTAGATATATATGAAAGGGAGAGATTTTTTGTTCAATTTTATTCAAGTGCAAAGTAATATTTGATGTTTTATTGGCAGGAACTGACTGAGAACTTGGAGGATGCAGGCAATGAGTTGATACTCTCAGATGAGGAGGTGGTGAGGTTTCAGATTGGGGAGGTCTTCACCCACATGCCAAGGGAAGAAGTAGAGAGCAAACTGGATGAGATGAAAGAGGAAGCAGCCAAGGAACTGGAGAGACTCGAAGAAGAGAGAGAATCAGTTCTATCACAGATGGCTGAGCTCAAGAAGATCTTATATGGAAAGTTCAATGACTCCATCAATTTGGAGGAGGACTAGAGATCAATTTTGGTGTGCCAGGGCTCCGCCTTTATGTGAAATGTGAAGTACATGCCTTGTTTAATTTGTTTGAGTGGTGCTTTCTAGTTGAGGTATGTCTTTTTCGTAGAAGTTGTTGGGTAGTCTTTTGCCTTTGATATGAATGTGTCTGGATGGGAATTTTTTTGGATAACATATGTTTAGATGGGATTTTACTTGAAATTATGCATTTAATATGGATTCATGGTGCTGAATTCTCTCTTTCTACAATATCGATGTGGGTAATTGTAAGCAGAATTTCTTGATCCATGAGAAACTAAACCCAGCTGAATGCCTGCCTTACTGTTTATTTCCTGAGAAAATTCCAAGCGAATGTCTGACCTCCAGAAATAACTTGAATTTTTTGTCTTTGTTTTTTCACCTCCATCCAAATGGACAACCATTCACTAACTTTATACAATGAGAAAATGACCAAAAACATTTTTCTTGAACCTGGTGGATGGGTTACTTGGATACTTTTGTTTGAGGAGACCATAACCATGTTGCTAGTTACACCATGTCAGGCAGATGTTCTTTGGATCCTCTTTTACTTGTTCCCGAAGTTGATTGTATCTATAATGAATATATAGCATATATTGACCAGCCTATGTTAATAACTCCATGGGCACGGGAACCACTAGTTGTCATATATGACCATGCTTCAAAGCCTGGATCTATGGGGTGTATCTTCCACACTATAGATCCGTGTTGGATCGCTGGATCACCTATCTGGATTAGTTAATTAACCATGATGATTATTTGTAGTTTGACCATTTATATTTTCCCTGAAAGTCAGCATGTCAATTGCATAACTGTTAATCTGGTAATGGGGCAGGGGTCGTAATGGTAGCACTCGAACCCAGTAAAAGGTCTCACGGCCTCCATTCAACACCAACACTTCGAAAAAATTGGTTCTTTCCACAATGTGTAGTGTCATGAAATCCCCATTGTTCTACCTAAAGATAAATAAAATTAACAATCTATGTTGGTAATACTGTAGTGTTGTTAATATGTATATGGACCTTTCTTCATCTTGTTTGGGTTTGGTTATTTTTTCTATGGAGAATTCTTGTGTGATCCATGTGGTCATGACAAGAGCATTGTCCATGAAGTTATTACTGTCTAGCCCATTGGAGGGATTGGTTCCCATCAAACATGTCAGTAGTTCACCTCTATGTACGTCCCTCTGTCACTCCATCACCGTCCAATCCATTTGGTTGGTGGGTCGGTCCAATCCATCACCATCCAATCCACGGGGGGAAAGAGAGTGAGCACTTCTGGGCCAGTGTTAAAATCTTATCGGCTGGGTGAACCGGGACATCTAGAAATGGTGAATCAGACCGATTCTCTAGCATGAGAATCAGTCCAAAAAAGAAAACAAATTGGAAAAAAAAAAGAAAAAAGAAAAAAAATAATTTGTGAGGAACTGGACAATTTCAAGGGAACGATACCAATTCTTGGTTCTGACAAGGAATCAGGTGGGTGGGTTTACTGTAATTCTGGATCCAGTTTGCGGCTGTTTGGACTATGGTTTTCTCAACTCTACTTTGGGCTATTGAAATCTCAGAGAACCATGTAGAAATCTACAATTGGAACTATATCCTATGATACAAGGGATTGGAGAAAATAAACTTAAGCAATCGGGAGTGGAGTTCAAACCCCAAGAACAATATTTTTATACAAACCAAATATCCCTTATTTTATTTATTTTTAACTTATCACTCTATTTTTAGGTTTTAAAGAAAGCTCCAAAACGAATCTGACAATATTGGTTTTGGGAACGGAAACAGAAAGAGCACTACGGGCCAGTGTATCTTCTCGGCTGGGTATTCCACCATCTAGAAATGACGAATCAGACCAATTCTCTAGCATGAGAATCAATCCAAAAAAATAAAACAAAATGAAGAAAAAAGAGCAAAAAAGAAACGAAAAAGAAGAATGTAATTCGTGGGGAATTGGGCAATTTCAAGGGAGTCGTACCAATTCCAGGTTCTAACAAAAAATCAAGTTGGTCTACAATAATTCTTAATCCGGATTGGTCATTCCTGATCCAAATTTCTTGTTTTGTAAATATTGGTTTTTTCAACTCTACTTTGGGCTATTGAAATCTTAAAGAACCATATAAAAATCTACAATTGGAACCATATCCTACGATCCAACGGACTGGGGAAATAAATTTAGCCCCTCGGGAGAGGAGTTCAAACTCCAAGAACAAGTCAAGATCCCAATGCTAGCTACTGGTGAACCGGTAGGTTTGTTTCTCTGTAATTCTCAGGATTATACTACAATGGAGATGCAAGAACTGGAAGGTTTCTAGAGACGTGGAAAATTAGAAAGTATAGTATTAATAGTTGATGGCGGGCCCAACTTATATGAAACTGTGTTGTTTAAATTTTAGCCACAAATAGTATTTACTCTTTTTCAATCCAGTCGCATGGCTTTTTCTAACGTCATTTGTCCATCCATTAATCTTTTTGAATAAATTGGGTAGGATAGGGTTTGATGATCCCTATCCATATATTAATAATGAAACAATGGATCACATCAACAACCAGCCAACTTTCCTGAGTACAACAACCCATTGCCGCGTTTATGTCATTGCCTTAAAATAATGGAAAACCTTTTGGTGGGCGAATAGAGCTTCATCTTAAAAATTTCAGAAAATTGAGGTATTGGAATTGGAAAACCGTCAAATCCATCACCTTGGCCTTGAGTATTATAGTTGTAAAATTAATAATAATAAATATTTCAAACTCTAAAAATAATGTATATTACAACCCATCATCTGGATAGTCAAATTCGCCCTAGAAAAATGTGTTCACATATATGCAAAGTTTGTACAATTTTTTTAGTTTTAAATTTTATAATGAATGCTAAAAATTGATTTTAGAGCCACAATAGAGATTTTCGATGCCAAAATGCTTTTCAGATTGAGGTGAAGCTTTACTTTGTTTTCATGAAGCCTAAGCCTTATAGAATGCATCTTAAAAACAATGAGCAATGATCTAATGCAACTGTTGTAGCATAGTATAATGCAACTGACATTTTTAGAAAAGGTATTTGTGTGATTCCAAATTTTACACACGCACTCTCTTCATCTCAATAACCAATCTTTTAAAAAAAATTCAATTTGAACTCTAGATATGGTCAAAATGAGTCCCCTTCTAAAAACGAATCTTGACCGTTCATTTGTGAATTTCAAGATCTTAGCCTTTATAAATTCAAAATCATTTTTTCTTTTTTTAACATTATTTATCTAATGATAATAAAGCCATCTAAAAAAATTAGAAATGAAACCTTTTAGGACCTAGATCTAAACATCTCACCAAAATAAACGGCCTATGTTAATTAGGCTAAAAATTTACTTTTTAAACTGTGTTTTCAAATTTTTCTTTTTTTCTTAATTGTTCATTGGAATAAAAAAAATGTATGTTTCAAACTTTAGATCAAACAAAAACAAGTGGGTTGTTGCATCATATTACTATACATCGATTGTATGAAATAATTTCTCAAAAATAACATACCGACAAAATCTCATATGGAGTCCCTATTGTAGACCAATTCCACACTTAATCATGTGTGCCGACATACATGCATCAATGCATACATACATGTACCCCTCGCGAAAATATCAAAGTGTAGTATCTCCTCGGAGAATACCTAAGTGTCATATCGCGCTTGCCCTCAGATGGCTTCAGTTGTAATCACGCCTAATAATAACTTATTTTTAGTTTTATAAAATTTAGGCTCTGACCACCAACGTGCAACCAACAAAAAAAAAAAGATATTCTGATAAATTAAAATTATCAAAATTCCCTTATAGGTATTTTGGTTATTTTATGTATTAAAAGTATATATTTATATATATATTTTTTAGATGCACCCAAGTAAAAAAGAGGCATGCACAAATTTCATACTAATATAATTTTAAAAATAAATAATTCTAATCCACTCGATTAAATAGAAAACATTGATAATATGTCGAGAGCTATCCTAACTATCCATTTAAATTAGACAAAAAATAGTGCCAAAAATAATAATTTTCCTGTAACAAGGCTATATAAAAAGGTTTCACTTTCTTTAGCAACGATATACAGGTAAGAAGCTGATTCACGGAGAACAACCACCATTAAATTCATCAACAAAGGTGGCCGAGATCTATATATTCCAAAGTTCCATTTTCAATTCCTACTGCTGAACTACCCAAAAAGCCAAAAGAAATTCCATTTTTCGGGTCCGAGTGGAAGTAATCAAGAACAAACAATGCATAATGATAGATTAGGAACTTTAACCAAAATTCAGCCCCAATAAATGATATTCATTGATACACATTAATACAGGGGTTTAAAAAACGGATCGATAGTCTGGATCAAGCATCTCAAAAACCCATTTGGATCGATGGATCGGCGATCCAAATCGAGAATCGATCGGATTAAGCTGTAAAAAAAATATAAAAAAATTCTTAAAAATTATTATAAATGTTGTTTTTTTGTAATCCAATAAGAAATCGAAGTACTATATTATTAATTTTCATTTTTTTCATCAATATGTGAATATTGAGATACTTTTTCTCTGTATGAACATATTTTAACCATTAAATTACATCACACAAAATAAAAAGTCATAAAACTATCACGGAAGAAGTATATAATCATACATGGACTACAATAAAAAATGATTTTTTTATAAGAACATTTTAGTTTATTTGACAAAAACCTTTCATTTTTTTACAAGAATTGTTTGTCGTATTACATTTTTTTTTTGTTTTTAGCAAAAATATTTTCTTTTGATAAAAAATACTTGTATTATTTTTTTTTTATAAGAACATTTTTTTTTTACAATAACTTTTTATTACTTTTTATTTTTTTGACAAAAATCTTTTATTTTTTTTGACAAAAAAAAGAAATTTGACAAGAAAAATAATTGATAATAACCTTTCTTTTTTTTTTTATAAGGAACTTTTTATTTTATTGATAAGAAAAAACTTTGACAAAAAGCCAAATTGATAAAAAAACCTTTCATTTTTTTGATAAAAAAAAAATTTGACAAAAAGCGAAATTGATAAAAAAACCTTTCATTTTTTTCTTATGACAAAAATACTTGTTGTATTATTATTTTTTTATAAGAACTTTTATTTTTTTTGACAATAACTTTTTATTACTTTTTTTTTGACAAAAAAAAAAGAAATTTTACAAGAAAAATAATTGATATGAACCTTTCATTTTTTTTTATAAGAAAATTTTTATTTTATTGATAAGAAAAAAATTTGACAAAAAACGAAATTGGTAAAAAAACCTTTCATTTTTTTTCTATGAACAAAAATACTTGTTGTATTATTATTTTTTTATAAAACTTTTAGTTTTTTTTGACAATAACTTTTATACTTTTTTTTTGAACAAAAAAAAAGAAATTTTACAAGAAAAATAATTGATATGAACCTTTCATTTTTTTTTATAAGAAAATTTTTATTTTATTGATAAGAAAAAAATTTGACAAAATACGAAATTGGTAAAAAAACCTTTCATTTTTTTTATAAGAAAAAAATTTGACCTCAAATAAATAAAATTGACAAGAAAAATATTTATAAGAAAAAATTTGACCTCAAGAAAATAAAATTGACAAGAAAAATAGTTGAGAAAAGAACCCCCTTTCGTCCCAAGGAAAATGACACCCCCGCCCTCTACATACAAAAAATTATAACCAATACACATGCTACTTAATAGTATTAAAAGCGCAAACAAAATATATAATATACTAATGTTTCAAGTTAATACCTACACATTATCCCTCATCGAAAAGATAGAAAGAAGTTGCAGTGAATAAATACCTTTTTGTAGTTAACGAAAATAACGCGTACGAAGTGAGGAGAGTCACGCGACGAGGTGTACGGACTTTAAGGTATGAAGAAAATTTATAAAAATGCCCATGAATCGAAGAATCAGGAGAATCATGACGTGACATAGCGATTTACGACATGGAATCGCCGGTTCTTCTATAGAACCAAGCAATTTCCGATATTTCACTAAAACTCGATCGGGTATGCCGGCTCCCGAGTCGAATCGGACGACGGCACATGACGATTAACGGCATGGAATCGCCGATTCTTCTCTAGAACCGAACGATTTCCGATATTTCACTGGAATTGGATCGAGTCTGCCGATTCTCGAGTCGAACCGGATTCGACTTGCCGACTTTTGAATCACTGCATTAATAGATTCATCGATATTAACACAGAAATTCTATAATGGATTATGTTCCCTCCATGGCCTTCAACCAGGTGGCATGAAACTGTTGAAGAAATCAACCTTCAAAGTCTGTCCCTCTAAATGTTTTCTATAAAGAAAGCCCATAAAAACATTGTTTCAAATGAAAAAAATGAGACAATATAAGCATCAAGAAATCCCAAGCGATATCCTCTATAAGATCCGATATTTCACTAAAACCGAATCGGGTCTGCCGGCTCCCGAGTCGAATCGGACGACGTCACATGGCGATTTACGACATGAAATTGCCGGTTCTTCTCTAGAACCGGGCGATTTCCGGTATTTCACTGGAACCAGATCGGATCCGCCGATTCCCAAGTCGAACCGGATTCAACTCGCCGACTTTTGAATCACTGCATTAATAGATTCATCGATATTAACACAGAAGTTCTATAATGGATTATGTTCCCTCCATGGCCTTCAACCATGGATTATGTTCCCTCCATGGCCTTCAACCAGGTGGCATGAAGTTTAGACAGTTGAAGAAATCAACCTTCAAAGTCTGTCCCTCTGTAAATGTTTTCTATAAAGAAAGCCCATAAAAACATTGTTTCAAATGAAAAAAATGAGACAATATAAGCATCAATGAAATCCCAAGTGATATCCTCTATAAGACGTGTGAAGCTCATTACAAGGGACAAAATACATAATTGGAGGATCCACACATGAGAAAACCCAATAAAATGTTAAGATAGAGAGAATTCTTGCATGAAAACATCAATGCACATCAATTATGGATCCTTCCAAAACATTTCCACTACCATATATCAATCATTCCATGTGTCAATGCGTACAGATACTAAAACAACAATAATCCATACAACCCAATAGAAAACTGAGATAAAATTACTACATAGAACCAAATATTTCCCTGCTCACAAGTTGATACAAATGTGCACTCGCATTTAAGATCACTCAACTTGTCTCAACAGAGCACAGGAAACTACAATATTACGAACACAAGATAAAAACAAGAGTGCCATTATGAATCAAAATACAACCATTCTTTGTTAATAAGCCACCATTTTGAGCATGCAATCATTCTTTGAACTTTATGAACCCAATCTTGCACTGTACAAATACAACTCTGCCCCACAATTCAACAACATTGCTAAACCAAGATTTCCGTTAAGATCACATTAGTGCCGACAATCCAATCCCAGAAATAAAACAACGCAAAACAGTAAAAGAGAGAACTCCAAAGTGAATACAGAATCAGTTAATGACCATATTATTCCAAGATTAACCAACCAAAACTAACCAAACAATCTCCATACAAAAACCCATTACCGAATTATCAAAATAAGAAAACCCATTACCCCATACAACAGGAATGCGCCATAGGCAAGCCCCCACACCATCCCCCAACAAAGAGGCAGAAGAAGAAGAAAACCAAGACAAAATGAAGAAAAGTCCTTCAAGAAGTAGTTTCAGACGCGGCTCGTGGTGGGTGCATTGGACTTTCAGCAAATGACATCAAGCCGCTGCCTACAGCTTCTTGCTCATCCATGAACAGGTCATCGGTGCCACGAAATGAAGCATGGAGAAGAACAATCACCACCCCAATGAGAATCGAAACCAACACATTCAAAGTGACATGGGTCAATAGAAGGGCTATCAAAGTAACAATCGAGAGCATGGCAAGAACCAAACGGTCATCGAGGGTTCGACCAAATACCATGATGGGCTCATCCCGAAAGAAATAAAGTAAAAACCAGGCAGCAAACATGACCAAGAAGACAATTAAGGACACAGGGTGCCATAAAAGGCTCAAGAAGAGGATTAAGAGAATGACAATTGCATAATTCACTCGGAAATGTGCAAGATTTCTTTTGATACGAACCAGAGCTTCGCCAAAGCTGCGGGGCAAGCCAAAGGCTGAGGGGTTTGCAAGCTCACGCCACTGTGTCCGAGTGGCATACACTGCTTTACCCTTCTCTTTTGCAAGAGAGATGAATTCGATGCCAGATTTTGAGGCTGACGAGACTGTGCCGTAGCTTGTCTCGCCTGTCACCATTGAAGCTGATTGATTAGAAGATAGACAAAGCTTTTAAGTCTCAGAAACCCTAATTGTCTGATCTATGAAACATATAGGAACCTCGAGGCTTTGAAAACCTAGACTCTTGTGGTGAGCCCTGTATGTCTCAGGAACTCTTGTTCAATGATCTCTCTAGTTTCTAAACTGTGTTTCGTCCTGAAATTCAGGAATATCAAATGAATAGAAACCCTGATGTATCAAAACCCTAGCTCTCTGGTTTACAAGCCCTAATTGCCTGATCTCTGTGACGAGCAACAAGAGATACTCGAAAACCCTAGCTCTATGATTATATGCCTTCAAAACCCTCACGCCTGATACCTTCGCTAAACTGAATCAAGAATGGCTAAGAACTCTTGGTTTTTTGTTCCGCAAAAAACTGGGAACAAAGCCCTAAATGCGTCCGGATACAACCTCAGCTATTGAGTTCTTGAAATCAAGATATCTAAGCCCTCTGGCCTCTGTGAGGACCCAGAAACCCTAAATTTCTGATCATCAAAAGTATGAACAACCACTGGATCCTGGTTTTCTCAATTGCTGCAAAACCTACTTAAATCTTCAGAACACTAGCTCTCTGTTCGGGCCCGTTGGAAGTCAAATCCTCTCCGGAAGTCCTAGAAAACAAGTCCCAAAACCCTAACCCTAGTTCTTCTGTTACGGAGATGAGCGCTTGATCCGTCTCATCAGTGGTTCATACCACAGGACTGAAACCGCTGTTACAGGAGGTGAAGCTCCATTTATGCGGCATAAAAAGACTGAAATACCCCTCAATTAATTTTCCCGAAAAAAAATCCGAAATGCCCCTCAAATCTTTATCTAGAAAGATGGCGGATCACATATTCCCCTTAAACCAGCGGGACCAAGAGTGGGCTAACGTGTTTCACGCAACTGTCTTAAATGGCGCTACGAGAAAAGTACATAGTTGTAAAGAGCCGAAGCTCTGAATCATTGTGATAGAATTAAAATATAATTTTATTTTTAATTATAAAATTTAAACTTTAAAAATAGTGTGGATGATCAAATTTAAAAAACTTGAAAATCTAAAAAATCGTTGGTCAATGCACAATTTTCAAAATTTGAAATTCATTTTCTTCTCATATGTCCACCCATCTTAACGTCTAGACGTTCAATTTAAAAATATTTAAACATCAAAACAAGCTCTTTTAGTATAATTTTTGAGGTGGGCCCTAATTTAATTGTTTAAAGCCTAGGCAGTTTCTATAGGGTTATGTAAGGTTGCCTTTGCATCAAGGCGTACCTGAAATTTGTTTGGAGAGTCTCATGGGACATTGTTTGAAAATATATTTTAATTTGTAGTTCTAAAATTTGAAATTTTAAAAAGACATAGATTGAGTAGATGAAAAAATATTTGAAATTTTTTAAAATAGACGCTCCAAAAAATTGTTATGAGATGCGTTATGTTTTGGACTTAAAACTCCTTTTTTAAATTTTTTTTATACATCTTGGAGTTGAGATTGGCAATCGGAGGTAGAACACTCTTTTGTAGGACATTGGAGGTGCAGCTCACTTCAATAGTATAAGATTGCAACCTTGTATAAAGGTTTGAATAAAACATCAACCTCAAACAATCATTGTAAGGTGCACTTCTAAACTATTTTCACTCCTAACTATTTTCACTCCTAATTATTCAAAAACTATTTTCACTCCTAATTATATAATTTAAAGCTCCACTAATGATATAGATCAAAATATCTACAAATAATGACAAATTTTGAAAATATAGGTTTTTAATAATAGGAAAAATTTATATAGAGTCTAGGCTCTAAACAATCAAATTAGAGCCTACCTCAAAACTTTGACTAGAAGAGGTTATTTTGATGCCAAAATATCCTAAAATTGATCATCTCGACATCAAGATGCATCAACATGAGAAAAAAATAGATTTCAAGTTTTGGAAATGGTGTATCTTTCAATGCATTTTTGGACCGTCAATTTTCAAGTTTTCATAGATCTGCTTCATCAACACTATTTTTGAAGCTTTAAATTTTATAACTAAAGATGAAAACATAATTTAAGGCTATCACAAAATTTTCCAATATTGAAACCATATGTCTCGACCCTATTTGAAAGTGGGCTCTAATGTGAAACCGCACCCTTACTATATTTAGGACTTTAAATTATTATTATTTATATCTATACATCTCGAAGTCATCATCATCAATTGTAGGGGTTTTCGATGCCAAGAGAGTCTTTTTCATCTTAATTTTTTATGTGCACCGTACTTGTATAGTATAAGGTTGACACCTTATAAAAATTTATTCCTTTCTAAAATGTAAATTTTTCCTTCTTACTTAGATTTTAATAAGAAATTATTATTATTTTAGGTGCATAGAGGGTAGAATCACGAGTTCTTTTTATTGAGGTTAGTCTATGGGATGAAGAGATTACATCCCCAAATTTTGAAGCCCTAAAATTCATTTTAGACACGGTTTTACTGAAAGAGTAAATGAACATTTTACTCCCGAGGGAGTAGAATGCCTTTTGGCTAAATTAAAAGTATTGCGATATTATTGTGATAGAAAAATTTTATTTAAGAGATGGGAAATTATGGCTAATATATCTTAAATTTAACAAAATTGGAAGAAAAAAAAAGCCCGAACTTTCCAAAACCTCGCCCACATCTTTTTTTCCCAATTTTCATGATTTTTGGATAAAAATGTCCTTTATGGTAATCTTTCTACCGTAATGGCATGATAGGATTACGGTACTTTAAATACCATAATACTCATTACAGTACTCTTAATACCGTAAAGCTCCTTAAGATCATTACAGTCGTAAAAAGACCGTAATGGTCCAAAGTCCACTAGAATTCCAGTGGACTTTGGACCATTACGATCTTTTTATGACCGTAAAAAAGTTTTAGAGCAAGAGTACCGTAATGCTCATTACAGTACTCTTAGGACCGTAATGCTCTTAAACTTCTTTCAAAATTGGAACTGACTCAATTTGCAGAGTCAGAAGCCGTTGCACAATTCGCTTTTGATCTCGATAAAGCTACTCAGAATCAATTGGCAAGAGGTCAACGATTGCATGAGTTGCTCAAACAATCCCAAGCAAACCCCTCTCATGGTGGAAGAACAGATAGTTACTATTTATACATGAGCAAATGGATATCTTGATCCATTAGAAATTGGACAGGTGAAGAAATTTCTCGTTCAGTTATGTACTTATTTAAGAACAAATCAGCCTCAGTTCCAATAAATCATATCTCCTACCCGGACATTAACCAAAAAAGCAGAAGTTTGGACCATTACAGTCTTTTTATGACCGTAAATAAATTTAAGAGCATTACGGTACTCTTAATATCATAATGCTCCTTAAGACCATTACGGTCTTTTTATGACCATAAAGAAGTCTAAGAGCATTACAGTAAAAAAACTACCATAAAAGGCATTTTCATCCAAAAAATTATGAAAATTAGAAAAGAAAGGTGTAGACAAGGTTTTGAGAAGTTTGGGTTTTTTTTTTCAATTTTATTAAAATTAAAATATATGAACGATAATTTCTCTTAAGAGATAAGGTGCGGCTAAAAAACCCATTAAAGAAGATTGTCTAATGCTAAGAACCCTCCAACTAATCATCTCGATCTTTTGGATGAACTTACCCAACCTGAGCAATTAAAAGAAATTTCACTAAACACCTTGGAGCTATGCGAAAATTCACGCCCCAAGATTGTATATTGACCGTCGAATTTAGATAGTCATTATCTACTTTTATTTTCATTCTACATAAGGAAATTTAAACACATATAAGAGATCAACTATTTAATATTTTACCCCGATCTTATTCAATTTCAAAATACCTAACAAATTACATATGACCATGAGAATATTTGAAAAATGATAAATTGTCAAATCGTTGATAAGGTGCTTTCATAAAATTTCCTTCACATAATCGAGTGCTCAAAAGTGAGTTCCAGAATTTCAAATCAATAAAATCCTGTTTAAGTAGGTCCTCTGCCTTTGGCAATTAGTTCTGTTTCAAAAGTGTTCTAAAAAAAGTGAGATCCAAATATCTGACATATAAATTTGAGAAGACTTCTCAAAAGTGTTCCCAAAGTGAAACTGTTCTCAAAAGTTTATATAAGGTTATAACCCTAAAGTGCACATTAAAAATCAATTAAAAAAGAGTGTCCTAAAGTTGAAAAACTTTCTACTTGATCGTGACCTTGAAATGTATGGATATAAAAAAAATAAAAAATTCAAACCCTAAAAATAACACACATGTAACAAACTAATTGGACCGCCTATTTTCAAGATTTTTAAGTGCTTATGGATCTTCTCGTTTAGTATCATTTGTTAAAAATTTAAATTCCATAACTAGAGTTGAATATAGATTTTCAAGCCATCGTAGAGTTTCTAAAACTGAAACTACATTTTCTGACAAAATCAAAAAATACACCTTACTTGTATAGTACAGGGTGAGCACCATATACCAACCTCACCCCGTAAGTTTTGATATCACGAGTAGGGTTTACGCGGGAAAGGACATTGACATCCAAATAATTTACATATAAATTTGAGAACACTTTTCACTTCGATGGAGGGGAAATTTGGAAAGTTCTCCTATCAGAATTTAAGCCTCCACTATATATATCTTACCTCAACGGACTCTTGGAAGTAGGCTTTAAATATTAAATATTAAATATCTCGGTACCCTAGTGTAGATGTATGCGGAATTTCAACCTAGAGTCCTATTACAAAGTCTTGATAGTAGTTTTTTTTTATTTGGCACATTCCCAATTGTTTGATGTAAATCAGGTTAGGGTAACGTAAAAGGTCTTGTTAAATGGGAATATGGGATACTATGCTATAAGCCAGCATACGCTGGTACAGATCACAATCAATCTTAGTCATCATACGTTAAATCAAGAACCAAGAAATGTGTTAGCAAATTGAGAAACTATTTTGGAACTTTGGGCATGTTAATAAAACACTTCTTAACAGACCAATTGCACATCTAATGGCTAAAGATGGTTGTAGCATTCTTGTACCAATAATACAAAGACGTTATCGTATACTTTTCCATTTTATATTACATTTGACATTTGATGACTCAAAGCTTTGTCTAGTATTCATGTGCCAAGAGCCGATGCCAAACAAATAAAAAGTTTCTCCAAAAGTAAAGAATACCTTATAAGAATCACTTTTAATGGAACAATCAAATGCCCCTGGTGCACAGTAGCTCAAATGCACAGCCAAATCTCCAACATCAATCCTCATAGCTGCGAATATTAAAAATGGGTCACACACAAGTTATTGCGGGCACATTCTACATTTCATCATCTCCAATGTCTCATGGATTTGATGATGGAGATGCACCCGAGTCACATGTGAATTGTAAACCATGGCCATGTGTCTGATCACACCATACTAATTCATTGCATTTTCTATACACCATCTTGATTTTCCAATTTTAATAGGTGCGTATAACCCGCCAAAAAAGTATCCCTACTACTAGATTTCCTTGGGATGAAAATAGATATATAAAATGATACTTTTCTCCATGATGAATTGTTGATTTAAATAATAATAAAAACATTAAGTAATTCCACCATCAAGCATATCAGTTTAAAATTTTATACAGAAAACCCAAAAAGAACCAGTAGTTACTCAAAACTAACTTGTAAGAATGGGAGAAATTAACCCCTAAACACCACCCATGAACAAAACTGGCAATTAGCATCCTTTATAGAGATTATATACAAAAAACAAACTTCAAAGCTGTGACCACAATTACAAAAAGGAAAAATAAAACACCAAGAAAAAAGAGCTTACTTGGGTCCACAAGCCCAAGCATTAGATTTCAACAACATGGTTGCTTATCACCGTAAGCTGCACAAGAAATGGGGAATCAGATCCCACCCACACTTTGTGGGTAGAGAGAGAGATGCATGCAATGCTAAATTATCTGGTCATATGCCACTAGAAACTGAGAATAACCCAAATGCCCGAAATTGATTGTCAATGCTCAAATCTATTAACCAACACAAACCTCCAATAAGCTTAACTAATGAATGTACTTTCGCTTAAAAATTAAACTTGTACAACAAAAAAACCAAAAAGAACCATCAATTTCCCAAATGAGATTTGTCACTATGGGAGAACTTATATCTCCAAGCATGACTCAATTAAGGGTGCAGTTGGCATACAAATGCATCCGTAGGTGTGGAGGTAAGGTGCACCATCAAATTTTATCATGGTATATAATTTTCATGTAAAATGTTCTTAGGATCATCTAAAAATCTATTTTTATATCTAAATATAAAATTTTAAATTTTAAAAATGGTTAAAATCAAGTAGATCTATAAACATATGAAAGTATTGAAAATGAACGGTGTAGATAATATGTTGTAAAATGTACTATTTCTGAGACTTAAAATCTTTCTATTTTTCATAGTCATACATCTCGATGTCAAGATGATCAATCAGACGGTTTTTCAACATTAAAACTACCTTTTCCAATGGATATTTGAGGGGCATCTGTAGTTCTACATTATAAGGTTGCATCCTTACATAAACTTTTTCCCTCAATTAATGGGTTAGTGGACTGGCGATTGGCATCAATCATGTAGTTCTAACACAAAATAATATAGGATTTCCATAACATATGTCCACTGCAAAAAGGAAAAAGGAAAAGAAAAAAAAACTTACTAGTATCTATCTATAAGCACTTGCTAGAAGCTAGCCCTGAATTTTCCATCCCTGAAACAGGCCCAAGGAAATCACCCTCCAAGCTCGCGAGCAGCATAAACTCCCTTTGACCTTCCATCCACTGCAACGCGAGCACCCTGAACCTCACCACTCCATGTCTCTCTAGCTTTAGGTTCTTGTCATTCACAAAAATGGGGTTTTCCCCATGCACATACTTGAAATCCTCCATCTTCTTCAAGGACAAGAACACCTTCTCATAATGAAGAAAAAGGGTTATATCAGTCTGTGTATCTACCTAATCTGTCTATGCATCCACCCATTGCAAAACAAATAAGGACAAAGGAAAAAAATTTATAAAGAAAAAAGAAAAAAATCTATCTATCCATCTATCTATTTTGGGTCTTACGTTCTCAACTGGTCCACATTTTAGAATGATACCATGCTTCATAATTTGGGTGATGACACCATGCAAGATTTCACCCACAAATGGCTTGAAAGTCAAGCATTTGAATACGACAGGGAAGATCACCTCCCCGCTAAAATCACGAACCTTGCCCTCACCACGCTCCTTCAGTGAAGTCACTGCAACCAAGTAACCATGCTTTTGAGTGGCCTTGATGTGTGCTACATCCTCAAGAAGCTTGAGAATGATGGAACGGTGGAGTAAGAGGTTCTGGTACAGTTGGTCAGGAGGGACCACGACATTGGATTTCATCTCAATCTCGAGAAACATGGTCTCCAATCAGTCCAAGCTGCAAAAAAAATGGAGGATAAGATCACACTCTTATCCTATGATATATTGGTTGGATATTAATTTAATTGTTTTTCGTTTTCTCAATAAGCTGGATGTTTTGTTCTTCTTTTGATCAGTACCCTAGTTCATAGACTATTGAGTATTGACTACAAAAAGTTTTTTTTTTCACCCAAAAAATGTTTTTTTTTTTTTTGTTATTTTTTGAGACTGATTGACTGTATTGTATTAAGGCAATAAACTAGTTCCAAAATTTCTACCCCATGTAGAAAGAAGGGACAATATGTACAAAAAGATGACAAAGTTTAAAGCAATATTCCAGACCATGAAACCTTGTAAAAACCCAAAGAAACCACATTTTACAACATAAACAAAAACTGTCCTGTTTAGCCTGAGGTTTGTTGATTATAGAATGACCATTTCACCTAACAAAGCCCCAAAGAAGACAGACCCGTATACATAGGCAGAAACCACTCTTATTGACTCTTTAAATTAGACTTGTCAAAATGTCTTTTCGGTCATTGCAGCCTCCATTAGTTAGAGGACAATAGCTGGCTAGAGAAGCTTAAGTTCCAAAACAACAGGTATATGTAGATATTGAAATTTCATCTTAAAATATACTTCGCAAAGTATAGTTCTAGTTTCAGTCGAGTACAAAGTGCATGAGAGATGAAATTCAACTAAGTTCCACATGGTTGATTCATTTGTTGTTTGAAGGTTAGTTTTCAGATGGATGCCTATGTTTCTTCGTAACCAATACTGCTCAACTTCCAAACTACTTAAATGTTTTTAATATTATATTTATGGCAAAAAAAAAAAGAAAAGAAGTTACATCATAAGAATCATACTAGGGCAGTGAGAGCTTGTGGCAGGCCATTAGTTTTCTCTTTATCTTTCGATAACAGTCAAACAAACTCAAACTTTTGAAAAGGTAAATATTATCCAATAGTAAGTAGCAAAAAAAAATATCTCCAACATATGAACTTACCCACACAAAAAAAAAAAACATTGGATTTAAACAACTGTATCAGCTAATTGTTTCTTACTGTAATCTTCTCTATTTAATGGATGGTTTTATTAATTAAATAAAAAAGACAAAAAACTACTAATAAAATTCATTTGGAGAAACTTGTTAAGATTCACCAAGCATCCAATAACCTTGCCATAAGACTATCATAGGGGACCATAATCCCATGGTTAACCATCTGAAAACAACGACTTCCATCACAAATGAAAGAATCAACTATCTAATCACTTTTCTAGGGTCAAAAAAGCATTCTGAGCATCACGGTTTGAAGTACGTAATCAAATTTTTAGGCAAGTGAACAGGAATCTGAGAAGACAAAAATACTCATGTGAAAGAACAGTGAATACATAAGCGTTAAACATAAAAATTCTATATTTTAAACATTATTATTAAGTGTATATGTATGGAGATTGTAACTATTCTCGTGTTCTCATCCGTGAGCATGAATATACATACATACAAATGAAGAAGGGCATGATTGATATCATTTCTACTGCCCCACAAAATTTATCAACCACCAAAAGAACAGTTGCATTGAAGCAAATACAAACAAATAAAAAGGAATTGGAAAAAGCGACATATTTTGGAGAGAAATATTTGGGGGGGGGGGGGGGGCAATACAGGAAACAAAACTCAAATTTTGGGATGAACGAATGAAAAGGCAAGAAAGATAAATCGAAATAAAGATAACAAAAAATTCTGTAATGCTTCATATTTACATGGGTTTGAAACATTCGAAGAACAAGAGCACATCCGCTGAACAATTTAGTGATTCATTTAGAGAACATCACATATTTTTGTGACTGCAAAACTAATGCTAAGATGGGAAAAAAACTGAAAAAAAAAATGAACAAGTGGTACAAAAATAAAGAAAAATGAAATGAAACAACAAGAAAGACTCCAAAACCCTAAAGGAAAGACTCCAAAACCCAAAAGGAAGATGCATTTACTCTAACGAACCCATTTTTTCAGGGGGGTTTTCCACAATATAAAATACATCTGATAGATGTTAAAGGTGTGCAAGATGAACTGTAAAAGGATAAAGAACAGAAAGGAAGTGCGAAACCCTAACCTCACTTTTTCTTCAGCGCACTCTTCTTAGCTTCTTCTTCTTCACAGGGAGATTGGCATAAGCGTGTATGTTTATGTAAATATTTTTAGGGTGCGGTATGTATAGAGCCGAGGCTCTGAACAATCAAATTAGAGCCCACCTTTAAATAGTGTCGGTTTCGTCAAGAAATATGGTTAGTTTTGTGATAGCCTTGAATTATATTTTCATCTTTACTTATAAAATTTAAAGCTTCAAAAATTGTGTAGATCGAGCACATCTATGAAAACTTGAAAATTGACGGTCCAAAAATGCGTTGCAAGATGCGCTACTTCTAAACTTGAAATCCATTTTTTTTCATGTACATGGATCTTGATGTCTAGATGACCAATTTGATGATATTTAGGCTTCAAAACAACCTCTTCTAGTGAAAGTTTTGAGGTAGGCTCTAATTTGATTGTTTAGACCCTAGGATCTATATAAACTTTTACCATATTTTTAATTTATATGTATATGATAAACTTGTCCCTAGAGAAAAAGTATATAATGACATCATTTACCTTTGGTACATGGTGGTCCGAATTAGTCTTGATCATTGGATGCGAAAGTGGGTCTGTGCATTTATTTTATTGACTAAGCTCAAAATCCAAAAGAAATTTTCTTGAACTTTATGACACACCCAAGCTATCAAATTTCACATCAGATGGTTGTAAGTACATGTGACCTCTTGATATCAAAAGTAAATGGTCTCATTGTATTTGTATACAATCTTGTCCCCAGACTTCCAAATATTTTCAAAAGGATTGTATACAATGAGACCATTTACCTTTGAAACAAGGAGGTCATAGATACTTACAATCATCCGATGTGAAATCTGATAGCTTAGTGTGTCACAAAGTTTGAAAAGATTTTTTTTTGAAGTTTGAGCTTGGTCAATGGAATAAACACTGCCATCTAATTTCACATCCAATAGTCAAGCTTAATTGTGACCACCTTGTATCAAAGACAAATTGTCTTATTATTTACTTTAACTATTTTCAAAGGAGGCCCTGTCAATGGAAATTGTAACAGGGAATTATCAGGTCCTAGGTAATTTCCCATTGAAATACAATTATTACTGCGTCTTTTCAAAATCCGTCGAGAACTCTGAATTTTGTAAATTAGCAGGTATACTATGCTCTCTCAAAACTATAATTTACTTCTATTCCCTTAGTTATAAGACCAGCTTGGGAGGATTTTTCAATCTACAATTTTGGGAACCAATAAAGGATTAATTACTAGATAATTATTTTCAAATAAATTAAAATTTAAGTTTCTAACACTTAAATTTCATGAGCTAGACGTTGGATGGTCTCTATTCAATCTCGAGACATTATTATTTTTTTCATGTGCATAGATAGTACAACTAGGATTTTTTTTTCTATTGAGGCTAATCTATGAGTTGAAGAGCTCACATCTCTAAAATTTAGGGTCCTAAAACTAATTCTAGGTGGGTTTTACTCGAGGGAGTAAAAACTATTTTAATATCGCCCGAAAGAGTAGGAGAGGTAAATGAGTCGCCTAACCAAGAATATTCTTGTTCTCTAATCATTAACACTATTGCTGAGAGGAAAGAGAGTGATTTGAAATTTGAGGCGCCTAAGATTGTGAAGCGGGGTTCAAATATTTGCTTTTGCATGCACATATTGCTTAGTACTAATAAAGTTTTATGCTCTCTTCTCTTTCTTATTTTTTGAACTAGTTTTATGCTATTTTCTCTATGTAATATAAATTTGAATCTTATCACTGCATAGCAATACATAAAAAGAAGTTAAAGAGCACTAAGGTACTGCACTAATGTCATCTGATTAGCAGATTTGCTATGATAAAGTGGCAATTCAGATTCAAAGTTCAAAGGAAATAGGAGCAAACAATACAACTACGAGGGCAAAGATGCAGTAAAGAAAAATCAACTCCAGACCCGATACTTCCACATTGAACTTACCAAGGAATGAACAGTTTGCAACATTTTTCAACTTTTATGCACCTGCAAGTTTGAGCGCTATACACTTTTCTTTGAAATCAGAACAAGAATGTGGAATTTCCAAGCTCTTATGTAGGAATGTCTTATTTTTACAAGATTCTCATGTATCAGGTAGGAATGCCCAATAAGGTTACAGATTTTCCAATAAAACTTCTATATCTACCGTTCTTGTGTATGCCTTCTATGGTCAAAAATAACTTTTTACCATATATATATATATATAACCTCAAAATACAAAGGTTAATTTTAGAAGGGGTCGTGATGGGTGTATTTATCAAAAAGATCATTACTTTTTATTTAAAAAATTATTTTAATGGATAACTTAACCATTAATCAAGGGGAAATTTAAATTTTTTATAAAAATATAGTGTCCTAGAACTTTATATGTAAGCAAGAACATGAACTGGAAATTGGAAGTTACTGAAGAATTATAAATTAGTAGTTCCTGAAGAAGTTCCTGGTATCTGTGTTTGATAACATCCCTAGGAAGTTAAGAAGTTCTTGGTTTCTATTTTTGATAACCTCTTGGGAAGTTAAAAAGTTCTGGGAAGTTAAGAAGTTCCTGGATTCTATGTTTGATAACCTCTTAGGAAGTTAAGAAGTTCTGGGAAGTTAAGAAGTTCTTGGTTTCTATATTTGATAACCTCTTGGGAAGTTACGAAGTTTTGAGAAGTTAAGAAGTTCCTGGTTTCTATGTTTGATAACCTCCTGGGAAGTTAAGAAGTTCCTGGTTTCTGTGTTTGATAACACCTTCCGGGAAGTTAAAGAAGAACTGGGTAGCTGTATTGGATTAGCTTAAGTAAGAGGCAAGATGTAAATGTTAAAATTGAGACATACATATTATTTATTTTTTATTAATTTGTAAACTATTATTTTTTGGAATACAATATCAATTGAAAGTAAAGTACAATATTATTTTTCGGTAATAACTTGAGCACTACTTATATTTACCACTGATGCATCCATATCCCAACCTAATAAATATACGTCATTCACAATTCAAAATATACGTCATTCACCAATAACCTGTAATAGTTTAAACATACATAATTGAAAATGCAAGCATTAAGAAATCAACCCATTCAAACACATGCACAATGCAAGTAATAAGAACTTAGCCCATTCAACAATCACCGGTAATAACTTGAGCACTACTTACATTCACCACTGATGCATCTGTATCCCAACCTAAAAAATATACGTCATTCAACAATAAACCAACATTGTTGTTTGTCCCTTAGAATAATAAACCAACACTGTTGTTTGTCCCTTAAAACATTTGTATGTTCTCTCTCTCTAAGATTATAATGGCACACAACATTTATATGTCATCTATTAAGGCATTTGTGATGCATGTCAAGCAACATTCACAATTCATGCATCCATATATAACCATGTACAAAACCAGCTCATTCAACAATAACCTGTAATAGTTTAAACATACATAATTGAAAACGCAAGCACTAAGAAATCAGCTCATTCAAACACACATGCACAATACAAGCAATAAGAAATGACTCCATTCAACAATCACCTGTAATAACTTGAGCACTACTTACATTCACCACTGATGTTCAACAATAACCTGTAATAGTTTAAACATACATAGTTGAAATTGCAATTGAAGGAACACAACAGTTCAGCAATAACCTGTAATAGTTTAAACATACATAATTGAAAATGCAAGCACCAAGAAATCAGCCCATTCAAACATACATGTGGTGGTGAAGGAAAATCATAGAAAAAAACCATAAACCCATTGGAGGAATAGAAGATGAAAGACGTGGAACCAAAGCCCCTATCAATGGCTTCGACTCTGGCTACACCATTCACATTTGTGGGTACAAGCTTGTTCACACTACTCTCAATAGTGGCACCACATAAAGCATTGACCATTCCATGGCTATGGAGTCATCCGGAAAATGCTTTACTGCAGTGCTTTCCAGAAATCAAGTGAGGGTTGTTCTCTACTAAATATTAAGTGTACCGGAGGGAAGTTGCAACTGGTACATTTAAGTTCTATAAAGGCAAAAGTCATCATCAACCTTATTAATCATGTTTTGAAAAGCAATATCCTTTGGTCACTGAATAATAGTTGTACAGGACCTAAAAGAATATTGGAATCGATTGCCAGTACCAATTGAATTACTGGAAGAAAGAATTTATGAACAAAGCATACATACCTACAAGAAGAAATGGACAAGAATAAGTAAATATATAGCAAAATACACGAAGCAACAACAGTCACAGTTACTTGGGTATCAATCACCCATTAGAGAAAGCAACAGTATCGTAAGGAAACCGGCACAAATGATTTCTCAGGTTCAATATATGGCATGTGCATGAATGAATCAGAAAACTTCAGCTAAAGGCAAGAAAAAAAACTCGTGGCTACAAGTAAATCATTGCAATGAAAAATCATTCATGCATAGCATGCAATTTCCATAGAAGATTAGTCCAAAACCACCAACGGTGACTATCAAAGAAACATGATCATGGATTAGAAATGCTTAGGTGAAGCTGCTGAATCAACATTCAAAAATGAAAAATTTGCCACTCATGAACAATAAAGGAGACCCCTTGGCCTCCAAAATACCTCGAGGAAAAGTAAATGCACATGGCACACTAAATACCCAAACAGAAAACCAGAAGAAGGTCAAATAACCCAGAAATTACAAAGGGTTCAAAATTGTCAAAACTTCAATTGACAGTAAAACCTAACTGACCCTGACAAGTTAATTCCCTAAACAACTCTTGCCAATTATCCAAAACAATAACAATATACTAGGTTCAAAGTGATGTTTTGCCCTGATATATATATAAAAAAAAAGGGTTTCATATTTGAACAAAAAAATATTTATAATTACAATAACGATAACCCTGAAAGAGTTGGGGGAAAAGCAATATCCAACTAGAATAAAAAAGGCCAGCTATCGAATTAACAGAGCCATGGGCAGCGTCTCTATTTTATGAGAATGGATTTGTGATTATTGGATGGAAAAAAAAATGAATCCCTGCAATAATCGCAAATGCATTATCATAAACCCTAACACAAAAATTTAATGTTTAGAAAACATCAGGAAAACAGATGAATCAGAGACTCACCTGGTGTAACCACTGTGGAAATCAATAAAATCAACCGAGAATCTCCAGTTAAAGAAAAACTCCGAAAACAGTGAAATGCCAGATATAATTTAGAAGAAAGAGTAAATCTTTCCACGGATAATTTCTTTTATAACTAGAAGTCCAATACAAATTCCAGCGAGATTTCAAAGTTCCGGCCAAAATTCCAAATATTCCAGCGAATGTTATGAATTCCGGCAAAGATTCCGTAAGAAAGAAGAGAAGGGCATAGATATTACGGCGCAGAGAAAGAGGGAGAGGATCGCGTTGAACTGTGAAAGCCGCCGAACCGAGACGGTGCCAAGAGACGGGTGGCTCAGCGCGAGCGAAGAAGAGGAGAAGAAATCCTAGGGCAAACTTCTAATCTCAACTTCCAACCTTTTGGTCGGAACTTTTTGAAGACACAAAGATGGAACATCAACAGTATAGAGGAGTTCTTAATTTTCTTTCATTTTTTTACGAAACATAAAATATAAACAACAGTATTAGGTAAGTTTCAAAGTTCTAGGAAGTTATCCAACACGCAGTAAAACTTTTAAAACTTTTAACTTTATTTTTTATAGAGATGCATAAATGATTGTTGTATCATATTTACAAAATTACCGTTATGTAATGATTGATATATTATAAAAATATTTTTTTAAAAAAAATAAATCATAAAATTAATAAATCCATCTTTCACAACTCAGTCTATCATTAACCTATATAATTTGACGAGTGGTGAACTTTAGATTATATATATATATAAAGTAATGATCTTATGAGACCTCTCCCACATCTATGTGTGTAGGACCCTAAATGATCACTATTAAATTTGATACAGATCTTGTAATTTGAAGAGTTGTGAATTTTA